GTAATAAAATTGGGGAAAACTTAGAAGTTAGGCTTCAAGCTTACATGATTTTGACAGGCAAGACCCCAAATATTTTATTTTTAAATACTTGTTCTCAATTTTTCAAACTATTGGTTATACAAAAATGAGTTGGAAGAACTTTTTGAGAAATGAGTCACACATAATAACTATAATAAAATTTTCTCATATATTCATTTTTTTAGTTGGTGCAAATAGGAATTTTATTAAAATAAGTAATTATATTTTATAAAAGATAATTAAGATAACCACTTCAATAATAGTTAAAATTAGAATTTATCTATTTTATACCCTAAAGGCACAGAATAAAAAATTATTATTAAATAATAATTATGATTTTTTTTAAGAAGTAAAATTTTATATTAAAAAAATAACTTCTAATTTTTCATTTAAAATTAGTTAATAAAAACCTAACATATTACATTTATAATTAAAATAAAAAGTTAACTCTATTTTTTTAAAATAAAAATAATTATTACATCATTAATACTATTTATCTAATTTTTCATTTAAAATTAGTTAATAAAAACCTAACATATTACATTTATAATTAAAATAAAAAGTTAACTCTATTTTTTTAAAATAAAAAATAATTATTATTACATCATTAATACTATTTATCTTATACCTCAAAAACACAAAATAAATAAAACCTAAATATTACATTTATAATTAAAATAAAAAGTTAACTCTATTTTTTAAAAATAAAAAATAATAATTATTACATCATTAATACTATTTATCTTATACCTCAAAAACACAAAATAAATAAACCCTTAAAACTAAAAATACAAAAGAAAAGCATGATGGTAAATGTCACAAAAGCCTCTTCTATAAAAGTACTATATTTAATAAGGATATCGATAACTTCTCATTTATTCTTTGATAACATAAAAAATATTCTTAATACGTGACGAAATTCTTTTTATTTTAAGATTTCAAGAAAACAATCATTGATCCTTGGTTTGTAGGATACCTTACCACAGCATGGCATGTGCAATATTCCCCCAACTTGGTGGCCAAGGAAAAGGATTGTGTGGCCCATAACTCACACATTAGACACTACTCTACACATCGCCTCCAGGAGCCCAGTGACCGTTGCAGGCCCTCCTTATCTCACTCACATGTGGCACTATCTAATTGCTCTGCCAAGTTGGCATCGTGGT